CACCCCCCTCCCCCTCCCCCCCCCCCCTCGCCTCCAGCGCCCTCCCCCTCGCCCCTGACGTCAGCTCCTCCCGGGCTCCTTTTCCAGCCGCTCCTCTCGTGCAGTCGGAGTCTCGACTCTGGCGCGGAGCAGAACAATGAGCGGCCGCCGCTTCGTCCGCTTCGCCCTGGGCTGCGTCTTCCTCGCCAGCTGCAGCAGCAGAGGTGAGCGCCCGGCACAAAAGCAAGAGAGAGCCGCGAAGGGCGAGGGTTAGGCTTGCAAATGCACGGGAGATTTTATTTAATTTGTATTTCTTTGTCTGTGTGTGCGGCGGGGCAGGCAGCAAACGGCGGGGACTTTGCAAGCGCCGCTCCTCCAGGGCGCGTCGTCCCGGGAGCTGCGGCTGCAACGCTTGGGGGAGCGCGCCGAGGCGCCGCCGTCGGAGTGCAGGGGACACACCCCCTTTCTCGGCTCGCTTCGGTTCTGCACGGGAGTAAACCGCTCCCTCCCCAGCGAGGGGGGGAAATGCGTTTGAAGGGGGGGGGGTTGCGTGTGCCGCCGCCTGGCGCTTCGTCCAGGTGGTTTTCTGCAAAGGTCTGGCGGGGTGTGGCGCGTTGCAACGGTTAACCCCCCCCCTCCGCGCCCATCAGACCCGCTCCTTTCTGTAGATGCATCTCTACTTGAGCACGCAGGGTGGGTTTGGTTTTGCACACGGGGGCACACACCCACCCCAGTATGTATCAGCTACTGGAAGGCGTTCTTGCAACTGGTGGGGAAAAGGAAGCGGGGCGGGTTAGCCTCGTGCATGCAAACCCACCAGGTCCGGGGGCGCTTTGGGCGTCTGGTTCGGATTTCTGCTGCTGTTTTTTGTAAGGGGGGGAATATGCAGTCTCTGAAGCCCCCCTCCCCTCCCGCCGCAGTATGCAGCCCCTTCCTCTTCATCTCTGTATTCCCTGCTGGAAGATCCAGGTATTAAATCTTCATATTTCTCTGCAAGACGCTGCCCCGCCCCGTAAATCTCCACCTCGGTTTTATGTCTCCTTTGTGAAGGAGACTTCGAAATGGGGGGGCGGGGGCGGGGCGCAGCCCTTCTCCCCCCCCTCCCCAGGCAATACATTAAAAAAAAAATGCATGCTTTTTGTATCGTGTGAACCCCACGGAGGTGGAACCTGGAAACGTTGCTGCCCACGACGAGAATCTGGGTGGATTATGGAGAAGAACCGTCCACTAAACGCCCCTTCGGAAAAACTCAAATAAAGGGGTTTGCAAAGAACTGGATTCGGGGACAGGCATTGTTCTGAGACAGGAGCCTCCCCCTCCCTTTGAGAAGGCGCCCCAAACACGCCCTGTTTCGTTGGGGCATCCTTCTTGCAAACGTGGCTGTAGCAGGAGGGGATCGGGACCGATGTTCCCTCTAAGCTATGGAGCCCCGTGAGCAAAAATCCTACTTTGTGGGCTACTGGCGTTACAGTTGTGAGCAGGTAGTCTGGCGACTGCATCAATTAGTTTGCTCTGGAGCCCTCCTTCCTGAGCCGAGACAAAAAATGTGTGCGCCGGAGGCTAAGAAACTGTGAGCTGGCTCACACTCACTCAGCTTAGAGGGAACACTGATCGGGACCCTCATCGTAAGGTAGACACACTGTGGGGCTGGAAGGCCTGGGTGTCGTTGGGATTGGCGAAGAGGAGGGCGACACAAGCGACGATCCTAAGGACACTTCCCTGGGAGTAAGCTCCATTGAATGAGATGGGCTTACTCCCGAGTGGTTCGCTTACACCCCGGAAATCCTGTTGGTCTCTAATGGTGCTTCTGGACTCGTGACATCAGGAACCACGCTTGAAATTGGGGTGTGTCTGAATGGGCCATCATGGATCTAAAGGGTGTTGTCCGTCTCCCGTTGGCAAGATCTGAACATTAAACTTGGATCAGGGGGCGAGGAGGAGGATTCCCAGGGGAGGTCAAGGCAGACAAAAGGAAAAAGGTGGTGGTGGGGAACAGCGGCAGGTGGGGACCACTCCGCATCCCCCCCCCTCGCAAGCTGGCCTCCTGCCCTCTCCATGGAAAGGAGGGCACGGAGGGATTCTCTGGACACACGCTAGACTGGAAGCCGCCCTTCTGTCTGGGAGCGGAGAGTGTATAATCGGGAGGAGTCAGGTGGTTGCCGCTGACAACGGTGCAGCTCGGCCCCTCCCTCCCTGCCCGCCTCCCCCTCCCGCTTCTGCACCACTTTCCCAAAGGGGGTTCTCCCTCTCGCCGCTTCCCGGGGGCTGTTTCGGGATGGCTCTCTTCCCCACCCGCTCCCGGGGACAAGAGCGGGTCTCCTCGGCTACAGGGGTGTTCTTTCCCTGCTTGAAGGAGATCTCAGATGCCTCCTGTGTTTGGAAGAATGAATGATGGAAATGTGCTGCCACTTCGTCTCCAGTCGCCAGTTTGGCGTAGTGGTTGAGTGCGCGGACTCTAATCTGGGAGAACCGGGTTTGGTTCCCCACTCCTCCACTTGCAGCTGGCTGGGTGACCTCGGGCAAGCCACAGTTCTGTCGGAGCTGTTCTCTCAAGGGCAGTTCTCGAATGAGCTCTCTCAGCCCCGCCTGCCTCACAGGGTGTCTGTTGTGGGGAGGGGAAGGGAAAGGAGTTGGTAAGGCGCTCTGAGGCTCCCGAGTGAAGGGCAGGGTATAAATCCAATCTCTTCTCTTCTTCTTTTCTTCTTAAAACGAACTTTTTTGCTGCCCAGTTGTAGCTGACTTACGGTGACCCCGTTGGGTTTGCCAGTTGAGAGATGCATAGAGGTGGTTTGCCATTGCCTGCCTCTGGGGGGGGGGCATTAGGGAATAGAGTATCTCTTACCATAATGGGCGTTGTTAGAAATCTAAAAAAACGCAGCCACATAGATCTCCTCGCCAGTGCTGGGAGCTTGTGATGAAGCGCAAAGATTCTGTGAGTGACAGGGTGGAGAACCCCGCAGGCCAAGTGGCACTACAGATAGTGGGAAAGCCATTGTGGTCAGTGAATTTCCAGGAGTTGCCACGGGAGCATGGCAATGTTTGGTTCAGCCGTTAGCCCTGAGGGGATGGAGGGAGAGGATTAGAACCCGGGTCTCTGCTACCCTCAGCCCAGCCGTCTCGTTCAGTAGAACACACCAGCCTTAAAACCAGAGATTCTGGAAACTTGCCGCCTTAACCTCCCACTGTAGAGACTTCCTTGCTTGCATTATTCATCGAAAACATTTTTATCCTGCTTTCCACCAGATCAGGGTCCCCAAGGCAGCGAACATAACCCCTCCCTGAACAATTACAAACATGTTTAAAATTACACAGGTAATTCCCTAAAAACACATAAGCACCCCCAGAACCAGGAAGGAGGGCCAGTAACCAGGGTTCCCTGAGTTCCCTCTAAGCTAGCTCACAGTTTTATAGCCTGCAGCTCACAGATTTTTGTCTTCACTCAGGAAGGATGGCTCCAGAGCTAACTAATTTATGCAGTAGCCAAATCAGTCGCTCACAACTTCAATGGCAGTCGCTCACAAAGTAGAATTTTTGCTCACAGCTTAGAGGGAACATTGCCAGTAACCGTTATTTGGGGGTATGCCGCATGAAACAAAAAAGTCCGAATGGTAGGAGGGCACGTAGCTTATCCTTGGCATATGTAGGATTCTGCATTCAGTTTGTGGCATCTCCGGACGCTCGTGAACTAGGTGGGAGTGTTTGTCTCTGTGTGTGTGTCTTTATCAGTCCAAAGCAACTTTGGGGCATTTGCACAGACTGGCAGGGCCTTCGGACTTCAGGGGGTGGTGTCCCTGACGAAGCGTTCTTTCTTCTGGAGGAGCAAAATCTAGACTTTGAATTCCTCCGCCCCAGCCTTCCAGGAAGCAAGCGTGTGTCAAGTGTTCGTGTTCGTGTGCGCGTGAGGTGTCTATTCAGAGCAACGGAAGAGTAGTGAGAGTTAACTGGGAAGCCTTTGCGCTTGGTGTCCCATGTGGCCAGCGATCTCTGGGTTAGCTCTCGTCCCAGAAGCCGAGGCAATAACATATCTGCAGAGAGGCTTTGTTTCTGGACGGGAGCCTGAATTCCACTCCCCGCCCCCCTGCCTAATGGGAAAGGCCTGCTCAGCGCTTCCCACCCTGCCTGGGTTTCTCTACTATTTCATGAACTTGGTGCAGAGGCAGATGAACCTGGGGGAAGGGATCTCACGTGAACACGTGGGAACTGCTTTACACTGACTCAAACCCTCGATCCATCAGGGTCAGTATTGTCTGTTCGGACTGGTGCAGCGGCTCTCCGGGGTCTCAGGCGGAGGTCTTTCCCATCACTTACTGCCTGGTCCTTTTAGTTGGAGATGCCGGGGATTGAACCTGGGACTTTTTGCATGCCAAGCTGAGGCTCTGCCGCTGAGTCGTGGCCCCTCCCTTCCCCTCTCAGGCAGAGGTTTTTCATATCACCGGATCTTTTAAATTGGAGGTGCAGAGGCCCCTCATCAGTGCAACATTCAAACACGATGAACTGAGATGAAACGGAGGTTGAGCCGCGCTGGGCGTGAACATGCCTTACCACCGTACTCATGCCCTTCCCTTGCTCTGCCTACCTCCCTTTGCGCGTGGAAGGTCGCTCCTGGTTTGATGTTTGAATTCATGCGCCTGGGTGAATGAACGTCTGTTTTCCAGACCGGAATTAATTGAGGTTTAGAACCCATGATTGTGAGTAATAAACTTCAGTTTGTCCGGGCCTCTGCATTTGCGCGTTATTCCGAGGGGCCATGGCCCAGTGGTAAGAGCATCCACTTGGCATGCAAAAAGTCCCATGTTCAATCCCTGGCAGTGTTCCCTCTAAGCTGAGTTAGTGTGCGCTAGCTCACAGTTTTCTTAGCCTCCAGCTCACACATTTTTTGTCTTCGCTCAGGAAGGATGGCCCCAGAGCAAACTAACTTATGCTGTAGCCAAATCACTTGCTCACCACTTTAATGCCAGTCGCTCACAAAGCAGAATTTTTGCTGACGGGACTCCTTAGCTTAGAGGGAGCATTGGGCAAAAGTTAAAAGACCTGGCAGTAGGTGATGAGAAAGACCTCTACCTGAGACCCTGGGGAGCAGCTGCCAGTCTAAGTAGACGATTCCTGATAGACCATGGGTCTGATGTAATATAAGGCGGCTTCCTTTGTCATGCCAAACTCGAATCTGATTACACTGGGAGGTTGGGCATCAGGCTGTACGTGTGGGAGGAGTCAGTGGAGCAAC